ATGGAGGGTGTCACCCGGACGCTGTATGTCACTGCATGGAGACAGAGGAGGAGTGAGGGGGATTGTAGCATCAATAGTCTCAGATGGTAAATGGTGGGGGTCTCAAACGCACACCAGTGAAGGAACGCTGCCGGCCTGTGTAGGTCTAGATCAGTGGTGGGGAACCTCGGCGCTCCGGCTGTTTTGGAACTACAAGTCCCATGAGGCATTGCAAGGCTCTGACAGCCACAGACATAACTCCCAGAGGCAGAGGCATGTTGGGATTTGTAGTTTCGGCACAGCTGGAGTGCCGAGGTTCGCCACCACTGGTCTAGTCGGATATATAGATTGAATTAAACTTGTGGAAATGTTTCTCTACTGTGATTGGTCCGGGCTTATTGCCAGCCCGGTGCATGATGGGATAAATATCGCCCATATCTGAGCTGGGAGGAGTCACATGTCAGCTCTGAGCCTCTTGTTTCCTGATTCTGTGAGATACGGAGAAGACACTCGTTACATTTATATTGGGAATAATATCCGGCGGTTACATGTTACGCAATACCTGTGACATCACACCCGGGCGACATGTGACATCCCTGTGACATCACACCCGGGCGACATGTGACATCCCTGTGACATCACATGATTGATATTATCTGATCCATATTCCTTGTTGTCACCGATTATATTATTATTATTCGGCACGGATTTGTGATGAATAAATATCTATATTTTGATACTTTGTATTCCTCTTGGAAGTCGGCGCAGATGAAAGAAGTCGCGTACATTGTGATTGGTGGAAATACGCTGGGAATCTCCTTCATTATAGATTCTGATTTCCATAAACATAACACTGTATATCAGAGCGGTATCAACATTCCGACAACCCGGGCGCTGCATGGAGGGTGTCACCGGGCACTGCATGGAGGGTGTCTCCCGGGCGCTGCATGGAGGGTGTCGCCCGGACGCTGCATGGAGGGTGTCTCCCGGACGCTGCATGGAGGGTGTCTCCCGGACGCTGCATGGAGGGTGTCGCCCGGACGCTGCATGGAGGGTGTCGCCCGGGCACTGCATGGAGGGTGTCGCCCGGGCTGTTGCTCAGGAGGCGGCCGGTGATGAAGCCGCGGCGGATCTGGCTCCTCAGCACGCGCTCCACCTGTTTCTTGCTGTTGGGGTTGGTGGAGTAAAGGATGAGGAGGACCAAGAAGTCTGTGACCTGGAAATCAGAGCGGAGATCACACAGCCGTCCAGACTGAACCCCTCCAGAGGTAAGTCCATTCCCTGGGCCAACCTACCTTGTGGTCATCCGCATTATCTACACCCTCTATAGCCTGAAAGAGAACACGAGATAAACATGAGCGCTGCACGGCATGTACACTGAGGGCTGAACATGACAGAGCGCTGCACGGCATGTACACTGAGGGCTGAACATGACAGAGTGCTGCACGGCATCTACACTGAGGCATCAACATGACAGAGTGCTGCACGGCATGTACACTGAGGGCTGAACATGACAGAGTGCTGCACAGCATGTACACTGAGGGCTGAACATGACAGAGTGCTGCACGGCATGTACACTGAGGCATCAACATGACAGAGTGCTGCACGGCATGTACACTGAGGGCTGAACATGACAGAGTGCTGCACAGCATGTACACTGAGGGCTGAACATGACAGAGTGCTGCACGGCATGTACACTGAAGCTCACCTTGATCCAGGCCTCACACACGTGTTTCTGGAACCAGACAGCCGACTTGATCACCTCGGTCAGGATGGTCACGCAGTCATGGCCGCCTCCCTCTGGGGCCTTCGCGGAGCTGAGACACACGAGGAGTCAGAGGAAGAAGAACAATGGGGGAGCCGGGGAACGTTTCCTATACTCACCTCTGTACAGACCTCACATCACAGCAATCCACGTCCAGCTTCCGGCGGAGCTCAGCAATCACCTGCAGAGACAACAATGCGTGTCACATGTCCTTCCCGTGTCACAAAGTGTATCATGTATGTGTGTGCAGAGGGGGGAGGGGACATTAGAGTGTAAGCTCCTCTGTACA